TGGTATTTCAAGACCATAATTTAAGAGGTAAAGACATTCATAGATATTAAATAAATTCAAGGTCTCTTCAATGAATATATAAGGAAACATATTTTCTTTTAAATTTTAAAACAGATAATACATTATGGGTTCATACTGACATTTCCAGTTCAAAATTTACTAATGTAATAAGGGGTCAGACCCCATTTTTCGATGTTTGATTGCTAGTAGCTTTAACACCTCGCCCTTCCCTCCCCCTCTGCTCCACATCTGGGCAAGCTGATAAGAAAGCCCATCCCCTCCCCCAATGTCCCTGTCCCCCACCACCTGCCACCAGCCCTCAACAGCCCCACCCCTACCCACAGGCCAGTCCCCTGTCCAGCTCTCTCAAGCATCTTTCCAGACCTGCGTGGGAGGCCTGCATGCTTCCCCGAGAGACCTCAATTATGTGAGTAATAAAACCCTTTCATACCCTATTGGTGAGAATGTGACACCATTAGAACCAAAATACAAACAAAATTTTGAGTAAGAATCCCTTCTGCTTTTGCACTATGGCTATAGAACACTTAACTTTTTGATTTTATATTTATATTCTTTTTTCCTTGGGCTGAAAAACTCCATTCCTAGATATATTCACATAATCACTTATTTACATTATCTCATTATAATCTGTAGGTTCAGAATAATGACATCAATATTACTATCAATACAATTATTGAAAACTGATATTTTTCAGTTATATTATATTTCATATATTTCTGATATTATGTTTCATTTTATCCTTAGGAAATGCCATATTCTATACACAACTTTTTCCACCCTACCTTTTGTACTTAATAGTATCTGGAGGCAGTCACACCATAGCAATATGTTGTAATAGATTAATGAAGGCCACTTAAATTTATTGAATCAATCGTTATGTCTGGTACCAATTCTGTTACATCATTTAAGATACATAGATATAGACACATAGTTTTTCACTGTGTTGTCTGTGCTGTCTCTCTTTTTCGTTTTTGATTCGTTCTTTTTAATTTGATATTTGAGAGTATGCATTTATCACCTGATGCTTACATTAGCCCCTTGTTTTTGAGTCTGCTAGTTCCTTAAGTACTGAGAACATAATCTGTAATACCAAAACAAATTTCTCTCAAGACATTCATCTGGCGTTATTTGTAATAATAAAATATTAAGGAAGAAAGTTTATTATTAAAACACAGGGATGGGGAGTGCTACTCACAAAAGTGAATGAGTGAATGTTGAAGTTATAAAACTCAATGGCAGCATGAAGACTGAAATGGTGTGTACACTCCTGCAGTGTGGAGTCTGTTCTAGAAGCAGTTAGAAGCCTCTTGAGGGTGCAAGTCTAGAAGTGGCATGATCTGGTGTGAGTTGGCTGAAGACCACTGTTCAACGGCGATCGCCCTACATAGGAGCCTGCGTCGAGGTCCCCGAGGTCAGCGGGCGTTAGAGCACATCCTCTTCAGAGCTGGGATGTATGGAGTGGAGAGGTGCTAACGGAATTCCACGCGAGGGAAGAGGTGTGTCCCACCCGGGACAGCCAGCCTAGGTACAAAGGCCCAGGGGACTAAGCAGGCACAGAGACTAAGATGTCAGGGAGGAGCAATCCAGCAGACCCCCTCACTCCCCACTCCCCACCCCTGGGGTTGCTAGTGAAGGGGAAGGGAGGGAGGAGCCAGCTTTGGACCAGGGTGGGGGTGCTTGGGCCCTGTTCAGGGAGCCGGGGACATGGGGCCACCAGGAGCTCGAGCCCCTGATAATGAGTTCAGCTCTGGGGCAGGGTGGAAGGCCGGCAGGTGCTCTTGGGTGTTGTGTGTGCCTGGGCTTCAGGGCCGGAGCTGACAGCCTGCGCACATCCGGTGTCCGCAGCGGGCTCGCGCGCCCAGAGACTAAGAGATAAGGCGGGGAAGTGACGTTTGCGAGCCCCGAGCTCCCGGATTGGCGCAGCGACCCCTACGGGCGCACGGCCTGGGTGCGGAGCGACGCCTTCCGGTGGGCTCGGCGGCACCTGTGGCCCGCCACCCACCGTTCCGGGGCTGGGATGAGACTCCACCCAGATTAACCGCCCTTGTGGGCGGCACCTCCAGGAGCTCGGGCGCCGGGGAGGTGGAGCCCGGAGTGTCCCCGCCTTGCGCTTCCGCCTCCCGCCGGGGAAGGGGGAGCAGTCGCGGTTGGCGACTGTAAAACCCCGTCCCCAAGCCTAGCGGGCTCCGACGGGCCCCTGGCTGGCAGTGGTGGTGCAGGAAGGAGCCTTAGGTCAAGGTCACGAAGGACAAATACAAACAAAGGAGACAAACACCGAAGTTAAAGAGACGCCCTTAGTGATTAAGGTGCCCCCACCTGCCCGGGCCGCGGCGGTGATCTCAGAGTGCAGTTCGCCACCGCCTTCCTGCTTCCTTCCAACTCGCATTTCTACTTCAATTCCCCCACCAGGCTTTATCCTAAGGTAACTCACAGACTTTGTGCTTAAGAATCTTTTATTCACTCCCATTCTCCTTATCTGCAACTGTTTCTGTTTCTCTCTGTCTCTCCTCCCTTCTCTATACTATTTATGTTTACTTATGTGTATATAAACAACACACACATATTTACGCACGATATTTACCAAAGCAGTTTAATGAAACAACATGAATGTTTCAAATTTTAATAAATATTTATTGGCAATAAACTCAAAATTTATTGGACATATACTCTCTACTCGGATGGGCAGGGAGTTAGGGGAATTGTCTAAGGAGCCCTTTTTTGTTTGCCTGAAGCCAACGTAGATTGTCAATACGGACACTTGCAGGCAGGACTGGCAAGTGGGAGAAGGAAGGAAGTGTGAGAAGGGCCCAGGGCAGGAACTCTCTGGACACACTGTCCCTGGCTGACTGATTTCCCCGTGTCAGTTCCTGCAGAGCATAAGGATCTGGAAATCTACTCCCTGAACGCCCCAGGCCCACATAATCCTGGAAAAGCTTTCCCTGCCCATTCTGAGTCACTAGAGCTCTAACTGCGGCGTTGGGTTCCAGCCCTATTAGAGAGCCAGAAGCCAGCCTGATATAGGGACGCATGGGGTTCTCCTCCCAGAGCCACACTTAAAATCCAACGAGAGCACCACTGCAAAACGTCTGTCATAAAACAGTCTGAAGATGGGTTCTCTCACAGATCTCAGACCCACTTCTCTAACCATTCTCCCCTGTCTTTAACTTCCTGCTCTCTCTAGAGAATTGTTGGTCTGTATTCTCTAGTGTTTGTAAGATTGTGGAACACACATTCTAGCACCTCCTAGTTCTAATTAGACTGTCTCCTTAAAGGTGGAAGAACTGTCCCTGAAAACAAGCAGTAATTAGAGTGACAAAAGTAGCATTTTAGGGTGTGTGTGTGTTATTCAGTGCTGAGTTTTCTTTCATTGTTTAATGGGGGAGGAAATGGAAACCAAGGACCTCAACAAAATGATTTATAGTGTCCTCCTATTTAATTTTTCTGCATCGGGAGTGGCTCATACAATTTAGTTGCTGTCCTACACAGTCTTTTGCTTTCTTAGGGTTTCTGCATTTTCACAGGCAGTCTGTTTCTTTGTTGTTGAGTCCCTCTAGAGCAGAAAGGCTCAATCTTTTTGGTCTCCTGGTCTCTTTAAACTTAAGAATTATTGAGAACCACCTAGAATTTTTATTAACATAGGTTATATCTATACTTAATGTATTTTAAATTAAAACTGAGGAATTTAAAAATTATTCATGCATTATTTCACTTAAAAATAATGATGAACTCATTTCATACCAACACCAATAAAACTTATTTTTATGAAAAAAAATCTGTGTTATCCAAAACGAAAAAAAATAATGAAAACAGCAGCATTATTTCACAGTTTTGCAAATCTCCAATACCTGGTTTAATAGAAGACAGCTGGATTCTCACAACTACTTCTGCATTGGGTGAGCTCCACCCCACAGACTTGAGAGAATAAATGAAAGGGCAAACAATATCAAGCGTCATTGCATCCTGTGATTTGACCTCACAGACCCCTCTGCCAGGATTAGGAACCCTCGGGGTCCCTGACACTGTGAGAGCCCCCTCTTTTGATCAAGGAAGCCCAGCTCCAGTTCGTCGGGATTATTTCAGGATTCATCTACGTTGTCAGGCACGTTATTTTAACTGGAGAATTTTTTCGAATACCAAGACATTGTAAACCTAAACGTGTGGCAGTAGTAATGACTAAGGCGATTATGGTTTCCTAAAGCCAAGCACTCTGCAGCCACGGAACAGAGAGGGAGAGGATGTGCTCCATGGAAGTAGGGCTGTTTTAATGCAGGGAACACAAAGTACAGAACGATGTGTATATTATGATCTTGTTTTGTGTATTTTTGAAAAGGAGAATAATATGTGTATGACTGGAAAAGACACATGAGAGTACTTTAGATAATTGGTTATGTTTGGTTAGATGGAGAGACCGGAGAAGGTTTTTAATTTTTAAAAGTTTCCGCTCTCCTGGCAGTGAGTAACCTATGGTGTTCCATGTACTCGGTCCCTAGAGTAAGGGTGGCAAGAGGGGCTGCCTGGGCGACGGGGCTGTCCCATTTCTGCGCTCTCTGTGAGGCTTGGGGGACGGCAGTGAGGTGTTTTTCTTCCCTGTGGCAGCGCGACCCCCCTCCGCGCGGAGCCGTTTCCCCGCCTCCTGCCCCGCCCCCGCCCCTCTCGCCCTTCCTATTGGTCGCTCGCCGCTCCGCCCCGCCCAATCGCAGCGCTCAGCGCCAGAATTCGAATCGCCTTTTTCGTTTGAATCGGGCGGCGGGTGGCGGTTGGCGGCAGTTGGCGGCCGGCGGCCGGCGGGTTAGCTGACGCGGCGGGAGCCAGCGCCCGGCGTCCGGAGACGCGGCGGGCAGGGCCGCTGGTCTTCGTCGGGGGCGGCGGCGGGAGGCGCGGGGCCTGCGGGCCGGGCGGGCGAGCGCGGCACCGCGGCGGCGACCCCGGCTGCGACGCGCGCGCGGGCCTGCGGGGCGCGCGGCGGCGGTGACGCGGGCGTCGGGCGCCGGCCCCTGCGGCGGATTTGGGCGCGACGCGCCGGGCGGTGGTTCGACTGGCGGCCGTGCGGGCGGACTCGCTCCAGGTAAGCCGCGGCCGGAGGGCGCTGGGGCGCCCGGGCCGTCGGGGGGCTCCGGGGTCACGCGGGGCTCTCGGGGGGCCTGCGCCACCGGGACCCTGCCAGCCGTGCGGGCGCGGGCGCGGCCGGGGCCCTCCTGGGGGGCGCGGCAGGACCTGCCGGCGGCGCCGGTGCTGGGGACAGCGTCGTGGCCGCAGGACTCTGGGCCGCCGGGAGCGCCTCGGGGTGCGGCCGGGACGTGCGGGGTGTCCGCAGGTCCGCCGGGTGCGGGCCTGGGCGGCCGGGCGCAGTCCCTGCTGAGCGCCCGCGTTTCCCTTCAGAGTGGCTCCCACCCCTTCTGCAGCGGAGGAGTTGCCGCATACCGGGTCCTGCAAGCCTTTGGACGCCTGTCCTTCCCCTGCGGATATAGTCAACGCCTTGCTTAGAAAATGGGGCCTTCGAGACGCCTCATTACCATCAAAAGGAGCGGGGTCGACGGCCCCCACTTTCCCCTGAGCCTCAGCACCTGCTTGTTTGGAAGGTGAGCCCTGCGCGCGGTCTCGGTCTAGGTAAGAGGACAAGGACAGTCTCGGCAACAGTGCCCGGACATGGACACGGGCTCTAGGGTCCGGTGCTGCGCCCAGATCGCCTTGGCATTTTCCCTCTACGGTGTCCACACAGTCGTTTGTGTAGTTAAGTCGGTTTTTTAATCAAACAAACATTTAAAAATTGATGCGGTGGAAAGCTTTCCACGGAGAAAGATGCAGGTGACTGGCCTGGGGTACCCTTTAGGAGTCACTGTGCGCACCTGCCGCCCTCCTCACAGGGCATGGCTGGCCGCTCCGTCCGCTGTAAGAAGGAAGGAAAGGAGCTGTGTGCCTGGGTTTTGGTTGCTTTTGGAAATATGAAAATGGGAGGGCAGGTCCTCCCGCTTGTGTTGTGAGAACGTCTCCATTCCTGCTGCCTTCATGTTTGGTGGTGTCGCAACCGCGTCGCAGTAGCACAGGCACGATACTGACGGCTCCCCTGTCAGCTTCCAACGCGTGTCCCTCTGGAGGTGTGAGAAGGTTGCCCTCCCTGTGTGGTCTGGTCCCTGAACCCCACTCTGGCCTCGCCCCATCCTCCCAACTTCACCTACCGAAGGCAGTGCATTCCTCCGAAGGCATTCCTAGCTCTTGTTCACTTTGGGACTTATGCTCAGAAAAGTCTACCCTACTCTCAAACGTGAGTGCTCTGTTTCCATCCTCGCAGTGGCAGGTTAACCACTTCCGGTCCGGCGCTCACCGGCAGCCAGGCCCTGCCCGCACTGCCCTGCCCGCAGCCGGCGCTCCCAGTCCGCTCGGCAGCGTGTGCTGTGCGTCCACTCGAGTCCGAGTTGCTCTCGTGTGACGAGGAAAGCTTTAAAGCACTGAGAGCCTGTTTTCCTATACAGGCAGCTTTACTTGTCATGTAAATCAGAATAGGTAACATATACATATATGTTTTTATTGTGTTATTTTTAAATGTTCACAATTTTATTTTGATACATGAAAAATTAGAAAAGTCATATCACGGCTGTCGGCTAAAGTTGCTGTGTGCGTTCATCTGTGGCTGTCGACTACAGTCCAGGCTGTTACCGGAGTGGCTTTAAAGAGTACCTCAAACTAAACTTTTCATGAAAGCTTGTCTTTCTAATAGCACAAGTTCAGGGATGAGTTTTTGGTTGCTTTCTCCCACTAGCCTAACCTCCCCACAGGCAAGGACTATCTTGTTAATCATGGACACAGGACCAGGTATGGTGTCTGGCATATTATATGTGGTCAATATCCAGTGTTCTAGTAAGTGTCCAGTAGAAATATGGACTGGAGATTTAGACTTGCAATCAGTTGATAGTGGTGGTTCTCACAGGGCCATTTTACTTTCCAGGGGCATTTGATAAGATCTGGAGATATTTTTCCATGTCACAATAGAGGAGGGGCGTGTACTATTATTAATATCACTGAGCAGAGGTCAGGAATGCTGCTAAGAATCCTACAATGCACAGAGCAGACCCCACAATACCAATGTATCTGGTCCAAAATGGCAACAGTGCTGAGGCTAAGAATCACTCATCTGTATTGATTCTGCACCAAACTATTCTCAGTTCTATGGAGATAGTCTTTCTTTTGCTGGGATATTCCAGGTGTCTTAAAATCTCTCTTTGTAGGATTAAAGAAGCTGTTCATTTTCCATAGCTTGCTTCCTCTTCAAAAAAAAAAGTAAACATTTGGGTCTCAAATTGCAGTCATTTTGGTTTTTGTACAGTAGTACTTAAGTATATTTTTATGTAAGATTTTTATCATTTAGAAACTAATTCATAAGTGTTTGGTCACATGATATGGGTAGGAAGAGATATTCTTAGACTCCAAAGGTTCATATGGAGAACAGACAGGCCATTATTACACAAGTTGTTCAAACTTTTAAGGTCACAGGATGAGCAAGAATACCAGAGACTCCAGGAACCTGTTAATGAATTCTTCTGACTGTTAGTTTATGTGTAGGTTTAGGAATTGTCCCTTCCTCTGCTTTGTCATGATGTTAGCTTTCTGTGGAAAGACAAATTGAATCTAGATATTGTTATTTGTTGCTTGCAAATTAATATTTTTAATGTTTGAAAACTGTCAGTTAATACAGTGTAGTTTTAAAACAACAATGAAAAACTCACTTGTAATGAGCATTTAATATGTGCCAGGCAAATAAGTGACATATACAACTCATTTAATTTTTTGAACAACACCATGGTGGAGGTGCTAATGTAACCTCTTTTTTGTATATGAGGAAACTGAGGCAGAGGTGCTACCATAAAATACAGCACATTTGGGAATGATTATGATTAAATCTTTAAATATGTAAAACATTACAAATAAGTATAAACTGTTTTTAAAGTACAGTATTAAAAATAGTCATTTGCCAAAATTGATACAAGTACTTCTTTATGTCTTTTAAGTATAGCTGTTTATAAAAAAGATATTTATATTCTAGCATTTTCTGTTATATTTTTATGTACTCTAAGTTTTAAATATCTAAAATAGTTGTAATACTTCCAAAAATTCTTTGTAAAATACAAATATTATTTACATTGCCTATTTTGTTTTGTTATTCCTTTATGTCATTACATTTACAGATCTAGCATACTAGTGAAATTCTGTTTGATTTTGAGAAATTGAGGTAATTTTTTTTAAAGTTGTAAGAACCCAAAAAAATCTTAATTCTTTTGCATTAAGGGGTATCGAATGTGACATTCGTATCCAGCTTCCTGTTGTGTCAAAACAACATTGCAAAATTGAAACCAATGAGCAGGAGGTAAGTTGGTTTTTAGAAGTCAGTTTTTAAAACTTTTTAGTTTACTGTTTATTTATTCATTAGTTGCATATTTTCCCTCTTCTTTTCACTTGTAGGCAATATTATATAATTTCAGCTCTACAAATCCTACACAAGTAAATGGGTCTGCTATTGATAAGCCTGTACAATTAAAACATGGAGATGTAATAACTATTATTGATCGATCTTTCAGGTAGGTAAAAACTCATTTTGCTAACAATGAGTGGCACCTTCTGATTTACCATAAACTAGTCTCACAGTTCAACAGTGATCCTTCTTTAATGTTGATGAATATCAAAATGTTTCATGTTTTTATTTTTAATGCTAGTCTTAAATTAAAAGCACGTGGATCTAAAAGGATGACAAACAGGGCTCAAATCTGATAGAATCCAAGGATTTGAGTGCACAGAATTGTGTAAAAGAAAGGTGACTTTGTCCTAAAGAAGTTTGTTATTTCCTTGTAAGTGTTGTGAAACTGCATGAGATTTTTAGTTTCTTTTGTATTTTAAAACAAAATACATTCATAGAGGAAGGTATAAAACGAGATGTATAGGTCATTTTATGATGTGAACACCCTCAAAGTACTACCTGTCAGGGACTGAGTTGTACTCTCCCAAAATCCATGTTTTGAATCCCTAACCCCCAGTATCTTAGAATGTGACTGTATTTGGAAAGAGGGCACTTAAGGGGGCAGTGAAGTTAAACTGAAGTCATTAGTGTGGGCCCTAATCCAATGACCGGTGTCATTATAATAAGAGAAGATTAGGATACAGAGACAGCAAGGGAGCAGGTGCCTAGAGGAGAGACCATGTGAAGAGGCTGCGAGAGGGCCCATCTGCAAGACCAGGAGAGGTGCAGAGGAATCCAACCCTTGATCTTGGACTTCAGCCTCCTGAACTGTGAGAAGTAAATTTCTGTTGTTTCAGGCACAGTCTGTGGTATTTTATTATGGCAGCCCTAGCAAGCTAATATATCCCCAACTCATAAAGAATATTTCTAGAAGTTTTTCTCATGCTGTCATCTAATCACTACTTCTTTCCCTCACCAAGTAAACCACCATTGTGGCTTTTATGATCCCATGAAAGTCTTTGGAGTTTTACCACCTAAGCATGTATCTCTAAACACTGTAGTTTTGTCTGTCTTCTTGAAACACCTTAACAGTGAATTAATAATGTACATATTTATGTCTAACTTCTGCTCTTATGCATGTGGGATTCATAGCATGTTGGATGTCTTTGTATTTTGTTCTTTCTCGCTGCATATTTGTTACATTGAAAAAATATGTACAATATATACAATAATATACATAATGATACAGAATCCATTTGTTCTGGCAGGACATTTGGCTAATTTTCAGTTTTTGAAATATGTCAAGGCTTGCTTTATAATCAGATATAGTTAAAATTTTTACTAATCTGTTTTGTGTACTCGAAAACAGTGTATGTTCTATAGCTACCAGATTCAGTGCTCTATCTGCATATGCCTGTTAGAGTCAAATCTTATATATTCGTAGTAATTGCTCTCAGAGATATGTAGAAATCACCAACTGAGGATTTATTTTTCTTTTTTTTTTCTGTCAGTTTTTGCTTTAGATATTTTGAGGCTATACCATGGCATACAAATTTAGAATTATGTCATCCTGGTGCATAGAACTCTGTCATTTAGAAAAGTCCTCTGCCTTTAGTAATGCTTTCTGCCTTAATGTTTCTTCTGGATGATAAATATAGCTAAACTAATTTCTTTTTGATTTGAGCTTGCATAGTATAACTTTTTCCATCTCATTAATTTCAACGTTTCCTAATTCTATGGTTTAAGTTGTCTCTTGGAACCTGCCGTCAGGTGAATTTTTGAATCCATTCTGCTAAATAGATTTCTGCCTCCATTACTGCCTTTATTTGTATTAAGTAGATATTTCCTAATCACCACTTAAATTCCCTGGACATTTCTTTTACTATACTTCTTGGGAGTTTGTCTTCATTTTTAAAGGATATCTTTTATTGAATATAGACTTCTAGGTAGGAAGTATTTGATGTGGACTGGAGACCTGAATTATTATACTTCCCCAAAACTAGATACAGTTCAAATTGAGATCAACTGATGATTTAAAGACCTCCAGCAAAGATTAAAAAATGGATTTTAAAAAGAGGCACTTGATTCAGAACTCTGTTTACCATGAGAAATGTTCCAGGTGCCTGACTGCTTCTGGTCACATCTAAACTGAAATCAGGTCATTTCTGAGGTTGAAAAGTTTTCATTATGTAAAATAAAGGATTGCTTCCATGAATTGATCACTGATATCTGTCAGAACAATTATGTATATTACTAAATATAGTCTTTCTGAAATGTGCCTGTCTTGTTGGAACAGGGATTGAGTACGTGGGAAACGAGTGATCACATTGTTCTGATATATAGCTTTACGGTTACCCTAAAGTATATGACTTTACAATGTGATTAAGAGTCAGTTGCCTGCAGGCTTCATGGTTGACTTTCCAAACCATCAGATGACTTCAAAGCATTGACATCAACTAGAGAAAATCCGATTTCAACCTCATATGCATCAGTTTTGCACATAGACAATGCTCAGGAATATGGTTGAATCATACCCAGACCTAGTCAGTGATCAGAAGTTAATTGGTCGCCATCCCCTGGCAGTGGTGTTTCGAAACTAACCTGATGCAACTTATCTAAGTGTTTAGTGTAAAAACATTTTTCTAACTCTAAATTTATTTGTTTGTATAAGGTAATATCTTGAACAAAGCCTGAAGTTTGTTACTTGTTCCTTGGACATAACCCAATATAGAGACTTCAGTTCCTAGGGTATAAAGCATTAACCTGGATCTGTGTCTGTCATTCTATGCACTGCAGGTATGAAAATGAAAGTTGCCAGAATGGAAACAAGTCAACTGAATTTCCAGGAAAAATTCCAGAACAGGTAATGGTTAATATTTTCTAAATTTGGGCTGTGATTCTTTTTGATGAATGATTTCTCACTTCAAACCAGTGAGAAAGGAGAATGGCTTACTGGTTATAGCAGGAAAATATAACTGGAGTATTAAAAGAAGTTGAACTTAGACATATTAAAATAATCTAAAGCTATATTTCCTCTTTATTTTTCAAAATGAAAGTACTAAGCCAGTCTTAACACTTTTGGTCAAATAGGATACTAGAGTATTTCATGATCCCATCTTCTGGCAAGCCTGTGGTTAGGACAACTCCAACATATAGAACTAAAATTCAGGAACTATATTATCTGGCAGGTCATTTTGTCTCCCAGTCATTGTACTCATATATATTTATGTGTCTGAAATAATCATGTTATGAAAATTATGAGTGGCAAAGATGCATCCTGATTTTGATAGACAAGATGACTTATAAAACTGGAAGAGAGTTCCTTATACTTTGTCCTTTGAGAAAATGCTATAGCTTGAATACGTCAATGCCAAACAGGTATTCCAGTGGTATAGCTTATTAAAACACAATCGTGGGCATGTGCTTGAGGATTTAGTGAGATTTAGTAGGTTTAGGATAAGTTCTGAGAATTCCTACTTTCTTATGTTTTAGGTGCTTCTCAAGCTAGTTTCATACAAGCCTGTTGGAATTTTTTGGCTTAAGAGACTTATCCTATGTGCTGCTGAAATTAGCTACAGGGCACTTGAATTTTAACATCTCTGCCTTGTTAAGTATTGCTTCTTCTTTATAGGAGCAAACTTACTGTTGAGCCTGGTGTTCATAAGTTCCTGTGGTGAAAGCTAGTTTCTGAAGTACCTCACATAGTCACCATGTAACTTGTTAGTAGGGTGGAAGTAAATACCAAAAAGCTAGTTGAACTGTGGATTAGACATGTGCACTCAACAGTCCCCGACTGTTTGTTTTGTTACTGGTCTATGATAAAATAGGTGTTAAACTTGAGTATATAGGAAATAGCAATTTGAAATGTAGGGTTATATATTTTATGTATTTTTAATTTTATTAGTAGTTCATTTATATTATTTAGTCATAAGATTCTTAGTCTACTTCATATTGGAAATAAAAAGCTCTCCCATCACATAGACAGTTTTAGAAGCAAGGTGTTAGATATGAAGAAATTTGAAATCGATTGATTAAAGAAATTAAATTCTTTGGCTTTGGTAATATTTCTTGGATTTTTTTCTTAATAATCCAGATGATATAATTTTCCTTCTTTGGAACATTAGACTTTTATATCTTATAGAGTCATTTAGTTCTTCCACCCCTCCAAAAAATTCCACATGAAGAAAGTGTAGGCACTATTTGCCGGGGAGTGAGTGGTGGCGTTGGGTCTGATTCCCAAGCTATGGGGTGGCATTGCCTGTGGATCCACTTGTTTCTGCTGTGCATTCACTTTTAGGCTCTCAGATGTACCCTAAATATTTGGCTGCCAATAGGGCACACGTGCTCAGTGGAGCCTCGATTCACCGACAGGTCCTGTGACCCGTATCTGTTAAAATTGATTCTCTGAAGTCAAGAATTCTGTGCCTATGGTAGGTTATAGGTCTTCAGTGTAGGTGATGTTTAATTTTGGTTCTTCCATATGATATTGGGAAATAACTAAGGAAGTTATAAAAGCTCACTGAGGTTTGAGTTCAGTAATTTTAAGCCTAGAATTCGTTTTCTATTAGATCACTTACTATATTTTTTTAAAAGTCAATTAAGAAGTACTTATATCAACCACTAGCTCCCAAATGACTTGGGTTCATTTCTCTAGTAAAATCTCTAAAAGTCACATAAGAGAAGTTTGGTAAAGGAAGCTGTCAACAAGAAGAATATTTTTATTTGTTATGACTGTCAGTATTTAGAAAACATTTAAGTCACTATTTTTATTTTCCTAATTTATAGGGACCATCACGCCGTGTGTCAAGATCTAGCTTCTCTTCTGACCCTAGTGAGTAGTGGTTTGGTTTTGTTCGGGATCCTGAAAGATCAGGTCTTTGTGAAATGATGGCAAGGAAGGGACAATAAGAATGCAAGTGTAATATATTGTCTGTTGAAAAATCTAAGAGGTGTCATTTAACATGTGAAAAACAGGCAGATTCCTGAGTTAAGTTTTCCCTTAGTGATTGCTGGGGTACTGTACTTAGGAGAGAGTCCAAGTATAAGAAAATTGCTTGTTCATTTGTCAACTCAATTCTCAGTAGTTTGATAGCATATATGATATTTCTTTCATACTGGTTATCCGAGACTAATGTGATTTATTTATTTGGATCGTAATAATAGATTCATAAGAAATACAAATTTTAGGCATTAAATAATTTGTAGATTAAGTGAAAAGCTAGGTTATAAGATAATTTGAAACAATTAAAATAGTAAATTCCAATGTTAATCATTGAGAAAATGTTGAACTTCTGTTTCTTATTTTATATTATTCATTGCCAAGATGGGGAAGACCAAGATCCCAAAGCCCATCCAAAAGTCACTGCAGAAAATGTTTCAGGAAGGCCTCAGGTCCATGTCAAGAGTGTCAGAAGAGACAGTTCTACCTCAGGTGGCTCAAAAGGCAATGTTGCCCAGGAAACCCCTAATGTTCATTCCTCAGATCATCCTGAACATAATGACAGAAATGCAAGTGATCACACTTCTGGTGACGTTAAAGAAAATGCCAGGGTACAATTAGTGAGCTATCATGGAGAATTGAAGTCTTTTTCCTCTACACAATGTCTTGACGGTAGTAAGAAAAATGATTCTCCCTTTAGGGAGCTTTATTGGTCAATGAAGGAAGAGTTGAAGGTAAAATCACAAAAAGAAAATGTTCTACAATGTCATAGAAAATCAAGGTCACAAACTGATTATACAACAGAAAAAGAGAGTGCTTATGATTTACAGAGGGAGACCCAACTATTGGTTTCAGTTCAACCAAGAGAGAAATCCGGCAGAAATACCTCCAGTAAGGCAGCTCCTGCTTCCCCTGAACTAGATTCTGGTCAGAAGGAGGGAAAAGGAAGTGACACGGAGTCTGTTCCGACTTCCAAAGAGGCCGTGGGTTCCAGCATTCCTTTCTCTGACACAACTAAAATGAAGACCCTGAGACGATATTCACAACAACTAAATTCTTCACAGAAACATAAGAGTGAAGACCTGTATGTTCTTAGTGGAAGAACATCTGTGAATCTGGGTAACTTCAAGGCAGATGATAAAACACTTACTCCTAGGAAGCTTTTAACTAGAACTCAAACACCAACTAAAGTTGAAGATGCTGCCAACTCTGCTGGTAAACCAGGAAATCTTTCTTCCAAAAACAGGAGGAGTGTTCCTACAAATGCACGAGTTCTGCCTACACAAACAGAAATTCAGAATGAACCTTTTTTAACTCTATGGCTCACTGAAGTTGAAAGGAAGATTCAAAAGGATTCTCTACACAAGCCTGAGAAATTGGGCATTACAGCTGGACAGATTTGCTCTGGTTTACCTGGTCTTAGTTCAGTTGATATCAGCAACTTTGGTGATTCCATTAGTAAGTTTATTTAACTGTAAATTTATTTTTCATAAAAGAATAACACCTACCTTATATTTAGACAGGAATTAATGAGACTATCTTGCAATCAGTAATGACTATCTTTGTGGTAGATAATCTAAGCACCTAGGGTAAATGGTGAGACAGGCATGTTCATTGTTTTCGTTGACAGATGAATACCTAAGGCCTGGATAATTGTAACAAGGAATGATAGGGGAGTTGCAGGTTGTCAGGGGCTAGTTAAGGAGATAGAGTGGTCCAAGAGCATATCCGATTCTCCTTTTCCATCTATCACAAAACAGAAAGGGGAATAATCATAATTGCTTTCACATTGGGTTGAATTCTGAACTACAATTAACTATATCATGAGTTTGGTCATTTGGAATAAATCACTGGAAATCCCATGGAAATCATAGAACATAGTGGTAGCTCCCAGGTATTTATACGCTGTTCTCAGAGTCTCCTACAGGCAATTAATTTGGTATCAACAATGGACCATACCAAGGGATTATAAATGCCAGGCAAAGGTCTATGTGCTTCCCAGACATTAACAGCTTTGACCCTCAGTACATTCCATTCCCAGTGTCTGTGGGTTGGTTTCCTTTTTATCTCCATGATGTAAATGAAGAAACTGACAACCCTTGGTCTGTGTGGCAGCTCCTTGGCATCTTCCTACACTTTACAGGGTTGGCTTATAGAAAGAAAGAAAATATCTCTAGACATTCTGTGGCAATAATCTTAATATCAGGACTCTATTTCCACAGATGGCCCATAGTGTTGGGGTACGTGGATATCTATAAAATGAGACCTGGAATGTCAGTCCATGCTCCACTGAGTCTCCCAGAAGGGTGCCATCTCTTAGATAAGAGACCTACAACAACTAGTGCTTCAGGAAGATGCATGATGGGGGTGGGTAACATGAGTTGACTGTCAGAATCCCCTGGAGTTTTCACAGTTCACATTCACCTTTCTAGGTAAGCCTGGGTGACGCCCAAGTGCATGTCATTTTAGAAAGTTCTCTCAGGCCATCGTGCCCCCACCACCACCACCACACACGCACACTTTAAAGTAAAAGTATCGTTGCAGACTGATCACTTTCTTAAGCTATATCCACGTTTAATCTTCCAATGTTTTAAAGAAAACTTCTGTACTGTGCAGTAGTACCTGATGTCTAGTGATCTCTCCTGAGATTTGTCAGGGATTCTTGAAGCAGCTTTAGCTTCATCAATATTGCAAGAGAATGAAGGTGTGCTGTGGGTGTTTGTTTTTAATGAACTTTCTACTGGTTCATCTTTAGTATGAATGTGAAATACACTTTAGGTCTTGGTATGGTTTTGTCATTGCTCTTTCCATGTTTGTATTCATTACTCCAGATAAGAGTGAGGGAAGGCCTTTGAAAAGAAGGCGTGTGTCCTTTGGTGGTCGTCTAAGACCGGAATTGTTTGATGAAAACCTGCCTCCTAATACACCTCTCAAAAGAGGAGAAACACCAACAAAAAGAAAGTCTCTGGTCGCTCACACTCCAACTGTCCTGAAGAAAATCATTAAGGTGAGTTTAATAATTAGTGTTCCCCATTCCTGCCTGATGGCTCACTCGTGCAGGTGCATACTCCTTCCAAAGTCTGACACAAGTAGAATTACAATGAGGACCCTTAGTTTTTAATAATTATGATTTTTAAGAGGCTAAATGAAAGCTCATTTATTTGGATGCTGAAGAAGGAGCGTCTGGGTCCCTCACTGTGGTTCTGAGGCGGCTGAGCAGGGCATCCTCTGAGCTTCCCCTGCAGTGCACAGGTCCCCGCCACCCACGCACACAGCCCCACCAGTCGCCCTGCGGTCACAGTGAAAATGGCAAATTAAAGAGATGCTGAAGACATCGCCACATATAACCATAAGAATGGTTATTTTCTTTAGAGTCATAAGGTTATAGTTAAGGCATTTAACTGGGGAAAAAGAAAATCATTGGTGGTAAAACATCTATCTTTGGCACATTTGGCTTTTTAGAGCTCAATCACCTTTTCCTACACTGTGCTGTCCCCCTTTTTAGATCTCTGGAAGCGAATGGCCCCATGGCCCACCTTCAAAACAGGGCCTGGGCAGTCTTTGTTTCTTGTCTTACTGACAGGGAGGAAAGCAATACCTATTGCCCTTTGCATTTCGCACTGGCTCCCCAAGGAGAGCAGCCCTCCTTTCATGGGGACTGCAGGGGGCTGGGAACCCAGCTGGTGTTTGCAGGGACAGATCAGAGCAGGCTTGTCTCACTGGTCAGGCCTTTCCTTCAGTCCTTCTTCCTAAATATCTCAACTTGGATCTGTTTGCTGTTATGTCACTTTTCTTGCCCTTAAATGACTAAGGCAGTCTTACCTCTACCTTAGTCTTGAAAGACACTAGTTTAAACATTTGATACTTTAAGATTTAAACAGCTGAAATTCTTAATTAAGTAGGTTTCTAATATTTATTGTGGAGATATTACATCCTTGGTAAGGTTTCTCATGACTATTTCTGTCCTGTCAGGAACAGCCTCAAGCATCAGGCAAAGAAGAGTCTGCTTCTGAAATCCATGTGAAAACGATGGCACAAAACGTGTTCGTGCGCTCTCCAGCTTCCAGTCCTAGGACCACTCCGGTTGCCAGTGCACAAAGCCGGAGGTCATGCAGAGAATCCTCTGCTTCAGGTGGCAGCAAATCTCAGACAGATATTCCTAAGAGAGGAGGGAGAAAGAGTGGCAACCTGCCATCAAAGAGAACTTCCATCAGCCGAAGTCAACATGGTATTTTACAGATGATTTGTTCCAAAAGAAGGAGTGGTGCTTCTGAAGCCAATTTAATTGGTTAGTGTTGTATTGGCAAATATGTATTAAGGTGCATTTTCTCATTAATTAGTTTTTGAAAAGTTTCATCATCTTTTCCCTTTGATAGTTGCAAAATCGTGGGCGGATGTAGTGAAACTTGGTGTGAAACAAACACAAACTAAAGTTGTAAAACATGGCCCTCAAAGGCTAAAGAACAAAAAACAAAGAAGACCCAAAACTCCAAAGGTATGAAGCTCCACTGTGAATTGCATGTTTGCATGTGCTTATATTGTTTAAAATTGCACGACCTGTGTATTTATGCTTTGAGATTTTGTTCATCTCCTTCCTGTTTTCTACAGAAGCCTGTGGACGATGTTCACAATCAGTTTAGTACCGGCCATGCAAACTCTCCTTGCACCATAATAATAGGGAAAGCTCATACTGAAAAGGTAAAGGTGCCTGCTCAGCCCTACAGAATGCTGAACAACTTTATTTCCAACCAAAAATTAGACTTTAAGGAAGATCTTTCAGGTAAAAACAACCTCAGCCCTTATAAATAGTAACCCTTTGGGTCCTACTATTTTCTAGTTTGTGGATATTTGTTTTGCAACCTTTTGTTTAATCTGCTGTGAGCAAGATTATGTATAAACAATTGAGTCAACTTTCTAGGGTCATAGTATTCAAGGAACAAAGCTGGTTTGGATTATGCAGACAGCTCTGATAATTTTTGGGATCAGGTGTCCTGCATGAAGTAGGAATGGAACGGTTAAATGCTTATATTTACCGGAGAGCAGCCTGCCTATAGAAAACTAGAAAGTGCTTTATCATAAAGAAAGGCAGCTTATTCTTAAAATTGCTCCTCTCCCAACAGCTATACTAATAGTTTATTGTAGACGTGGATCAGTTGTTTTTGAGCAATATTTTGCTTTTTCAAGATTTACTTTTTTTCTAGGTAGTTTTAACTGTTTCTTAAAAGAAAGCCCTATGAGGAGGTTCCCTTAAACAATTAATAGTTCAGTGGAAACAATTAATAGTTTCCATTCAGTTCCCACTGTCAGTAAAAGTATGGCCTGACTAGCTTAATGTCATAGCAGTTATGAATGAGGCCAAGAGAGTAGATTTTAGGTTTCAAAGGGGTATAAGTGGTTCCCACTGTATACACCTTGGAAGAGAAGTAAGATTTAAACTGAATAGGTCGAATCTTATTTTTATTTCCTGGCTGGTTATAAGTTGGAAGAATTGTTATACTCTTCAGTATAATGCATGCACATTACCCTCTAATTAGAATCATAGTTGGATTAATTCATTTATCTTTTTTAAAAAAAACTAACAACAAAACCCAACAAGACTAAACAAAAATAAAAACAAAATAAATGTAGATACACTTATATACCTTACAGATTATGAACACATAGGAATGTACTGATATATGTGTAACAAAATGTTTAAAACAAACCCTGAAAAATACTTTTAAGAAAAAATAAAATGTTAAATAGTCTGTGCCTGGAATCATGAGTTGCCTCAAGTGTTCCTTCTTCTAAGATGCTTCCTTAGAGTTAAACAATTCTCTGCTTTCGCTGTGAGTCATTTTCATTATAAAACATTACTATCTGCTGACAACTACATCCTGGGCATTTTAAGTTCGACCCTAAAGGCTATAGAAGGAGGAAGTTTTTAAGTGAAGGGAGTGTTCTGGAAGAGAGTCCTCAGAATAGGCTTCTCAAACATGTTGGTAGGTGCCTGCCAGATGGAAGAAGCATTGCCATTCACTGACACGAAAATGACAGAAGTACGGAGAATGTAGGGTTATGTGAGTCCTTCAAAAAGTTATACCTTCTATATAAAGTACTATATTCTTTTTATTCCTGAGATGATGTCAGTACTACTTTTTTGATGTTAAAATGGAATGATGATATTAGATTTTTTAAAACTACACGTCATTTACTTGACAGCACTGAAAATGGGCAACCTCTGTCATTTCGTAAAATGTGGGTGCATGTTATTTGTACCCAAAATCTAGAACTGAGAAACCCAAGAGTTTCAGAAAATGTCATGAAGGCACTTGGCTTCTGGATCCTGGAGGAGAGGCCCTCTAGGATAGGAGCTGTGACCAGAACTCATGTCTACAAGACCACAGGAGGTCAGCTAGTTTCATTTATTTCCAAGAAAAGCAAAGAAAAGAGCATAATATATCTTCTCTTTGCTCTCATTTGACAAAATGTGTCCACTATTAATGGCATCACCCTTTTAATGAGATCTTGTATACCAGGAATTCTCAGGAAGGATCTATTGTTATTTTCCATAATTTGTTTACTGTATGAAAGGACTGGGGTGTTTGTTTGGATGTATCAGCAATATGTCAATCATTTTTCAAATATTTTCATTCAATAGGACTAAGTGAAATGTTCAAGACACCATTGAAGGAGAAGTCACAATTGATGAGCTCCAGTCCTGTCACTCTTTCAAGTTCAGAGAATTTGCTTGGAAAAAAGTTTCAAGTGACTAATTCAGGAGAAAAACCTCTGCTAACCACTTCCGAGAGTTTCGGTTGGTTTCCTTATTTTCCTAGACTGTGATATTTTTTAATAGAAGCTTATAGATGGTATTTTTTTTGATATAATTTACTAAAACAAATGTTCCTGATAAAGGAACATTTCATCTTCTCTGTTCTTTTTTTGAAGGGGAGATTCCCATCATCAGTTTAACTAACATTGGCATTCACTGACTCAGTCAATAAGTTTAAATGATCTGTGTACACTGTTGGCTTCCTTATTTACTATAAATAAAGAGGGTGACATAGCACAAAGGTACAATGGTGTCTCATACTTACATATAAATTACTCAAATTCAAAATTACTAAAAATTACAAAAAGGAAAGATAACATTTTGTGTACTATGCAGTTATTCCTGCTAGCTTCTAAGTGGGAGCAGGCCCAGGGTGAGTGTGAGATCAGAGAGGGAAATGTGTCTTCCTTTCTTATTTGCTGCTGGTCACGGGCTTCCTGTCATGGAGAGTGGCTTGCTACCCTGAAGATGCTTATTGTAGTTAAATATTGCCTGTGTAATAGGGACCCTAACCGTACCAAAGTATAAGCCATGTTATTTCATTGGTGGTTTGGGACAAGAAACAGCTGTTTCTAATGTTTGAAGAAAAAAATGGCTGTATTCTGATCAAGGACACATGGCATAGCAGCCTTCAGAGGATCCTTCTTTAGGAATTTTTTCCGTTAAATAATCAGCATGGAGCCTGACAACCCCGATAAATCACCAAATAACAACATATTCTTAAGTGTGCATAGCTCTTGTGTAAGATAGATTTCTAGCCACATAAGTAGCCTCATGTCCTCAGTCAGGGAGATATGAAGCTGAATATTTGGTCCTCATACTGTTTTTCATGAGGATAAGATATTAAATTGGCATAAGACAGGGAGCAGAATATATTTATTGTATATTTTTTTCTCACAGGAGAAAATGTACTCTTCTGTACTCGGAATGGAGCAAAAGAGCCTGATACACACTCTGCCAGCCCTGCCTTACAGTGGCGGTGTGTAAAAGAAAATGAAACTCTAGTGAAAACTCCAAGGAACATCTATAAAGCGACTCCTGTTAAGATGAAAACCTCAGATACTGAGACAGAGCCTTCAAAGACAGTATCCGGTGCAAACAGATTAAGAAGGTCCACGGAGCTCAGAAATCTGCAGAAGCTGCCTATAGAAAGTATGAATGAAGAAACAAAAACTGGCACTGTTGAGGACATCATGGGCAAATGTCTGAGGAGGCCACCACTACGAGAAAAGAAAATAGAAGGAGAGATGAAGGAAACTGAAAGACCTTTTGAAACACGTAAGGAAATTATCGAGTCAAAAGAAAATTCTGAAATGATGGCAGCTGGAAGGGGATCAAGAAGAAGTTGGGGACATAAAAATGAACCAGCTTCCAACCCAGCAGGACTCAAGAGATGGCCAAAAACTGCATCCATGAAGGACATGACAGACACCCAAGATCTCCAAACACCAGATCTCACAAAGGAACCAAGGAATGAGAAGGATAAGACCACTAAACTATACCAGACATCTTTACAAGCAGAGCCAGTCAACACTCCCACAAGCATGAACAGACAGCTCAGAACATCTCTGGGGAAAGTGAATGTGAAAGAAGAGCTTTCAGCACTTGGCAGGCTCTCACAAACACCAGGGCCAACCGTGAACACACACAAAGAACCAGTACCTCGAGGCACTCCACAGCAGAAAGTGGATCCAGAAAATTCTGTAACTGGAGTGAAGAGATGGCCAAGAGCAGCTAAGGAAGAGGTCCATCCCCTGGAAGGTCTGTCTAGTTTCAAAGAACTCTTCCAAACACCAAAACACAGTAAGAAGCCCACAACTGAGGACAAAACTCCTAAAATACACAGCAAATCTTTACAGTCAGAACCAGTGAACATCCCAAGCACAAAAAGATGGCCCAAGACATCTTTGGGGAAAATAGCTACAGAGGAAGAGCTGGCTGCACTGAGGAAGCTCTCAGAAACACCAGGAGAATCCACATACACCCCCAACGTACCAGCTGAGGACAAAGACATCAAAGCATTTAAGGATTCTGCAGAGCAGAAACTGGACCCAGCAGCAAGTGTAGTTAGCAGCAGGACAAGACCAAGAGCAGCTAAGAAAGAGTCCCAGACCCTAGAAGACCTATCTGGCTTCAAAGAGCTTTTCCAAACACCAAATCACAATGGCAATGGCACAACTGATAACAAACCTACTAATATATCCAGCACATCTCCACAACCAGAACCAACAAACGCCCCAATAGGCACAAAAAGACGGCCCAAGACATCTCTGGGGAAAATGAATGTAGAAGAACTGTCTGCATCAAGGAAGCTCTCGCAAACACCAGGGGAAGCTACACATACACTCAAGGTACCAGGAGAGGACAAAGGCATCATTGCATTTAAGGAAACTGCAGAGCAGAAACTGGGCCTGGCATCAAGTGTAACTGGCAGCAGGAAGAGGCCAGAGAGCAGCTGAGAAAGAGGCCCAGCCTCTAGAAGACCTGGCTGGCTTCAAAGAGCTCTTCCAAACATCAGGTCACACTGAGGAGTCAATGACTGATGGCAAACACTAGACTACCCTTGCACATCTCCAGGACCAGGACTAGTGGCCACCCCAGTAAGCATGAAGACACAGCCCAACACAAGTCTCAGGAAAGCAGATGTGGAGGGAGAATTTTTAGTACTCAGGAACTAACGCCATCATCAGGCAAAGCCATGCATACACCCAAACCACCTGTAGATGGTGAGAAAGGCATCAGAGCCTTTATGGGAACTCCAAAGCAGAGACATGACTGGCAGAAGATTCAACTGCGGCACAAGAGGAGGCCAAGAACCCTAAAGGAGGCCAATCCCTAGAAGACCTGTCTGCTTAAAGAGCTCTTCCAACACCGGCCACACTGACAAAACAATGACTGTTGACAAAAGCACAAAAGTACTCTGGAAATCTTTACAACCAGCAGCACCACACTCCAATGAGCACAAGCAGACAGCTCAGGATATCTCTGGGAAAGTGGATGTGAAAGAAGAGCTCTCAGCAGTTGCAGGCGTCCCACAACACCAGGGCAAACCGTGCACACACACAAAGAACCAGTGCCTCGAGGTAAAGGGACCAAAATGCTTCAGGAAACTCCACGGCAGAAAGTGGACCCAGAAAACTCTGTAACTGGAGTGAAGAGATGGCCAAGAGCAGCTAAGGAAGAGGTCCATCCTCTGGAAGATCTGTCTGGCTTCAAAGAACTCTTCCAAACACCAAAACGCAATGACAGACCTACAACTGAGGGCAAAACTGCTAGAATATCTAGCAAATCTCCACAACCAGAACCAGTGAACACCCCAATAGGCACAAAAAGACGGCCCAAGACACCTTTGGGGAAAATGGGCACAGAGGAGGAGCTGGCTCCACTGAGGAAGCTTTCACAAACGCCAGGGAAATCCACACACCCCCCCAAGGTACCAGCTGAGAACAAAGATGTCAGAGTATTTATGGAATCTGTAGAGCAGAAACTTGACCCAGTAGGAAGTGTAGTTAGCAGCAGGAAGAGGCCAAGAGCCCCTAAGGAAGACACCAAGCCCCTAGAAGACCTTTCTGGCTTTAAAGAACTCTTCCAAACACCAAAACAGAATGGCAATGCCACAACTGAGGATAAAACTACTAAAATACCCAGCAAGTATCCACAACCAGAACTAGTGAGCACTTCAACAAGCATGAAAAGACGGCCCAAGACACCTTTGGGGAAAACAGCTATAGAGGAAGATCTCTCAGCACTGAGGAAGCTCTCGCAAACACCAGGGGAATCCATGCACACACCCAAGGAAACATTAGAGCACAAAGGCATCATAGCGTTTAGGCAATCTGCAGAGCAGAAACTATACCCAGCAGCAAGTGTAACTGGTAGCAAGAAGAGGCCAAGGGCAGCTGAGGAAGAGGCCCATCCCTTGGAAGATCTGTCTGGCTTCAAAGAGCTCTTCCAAACACCAAGACACAGTAAGAAGGCCACAACTGAGGACAAAACTACTAAAATACCCTGCACATCTCTACAAGCAGAACGAGTGAACACCCCAATATGCACTAAAAGATGGCCTAAGACACCTTTGGGGAAAATGACTGTAGAGGAAGAGCCGTCTGCATCGAGGAAGCTCTTGCAAACACCGGGGAAGCCCACACACACATCCAAGGTACCAGGTGAGGACAAAAGCATCAGAGTGTTCAAGGAAACTGCAGAGCAGAAACTGGGCCTGGCAGCAAGTATATCAAGCAGCAGGAGAAAATCGAGAGCAGCTGAGAAAGAGACCCAACCCCTAGAAGACCTGGCTGGCTTCAAAGAGCTCTTCCAAACACCAGGTCACACTGAGGAGTCAATGACTGATGGCAAAACCACTAGACCACCTTGCACATCTCCAGGACCAGGACTAGTGGCCACCCCCAGTAAGCATGAAGACACAGCCCAACACAAGTCTCAGGAAAGCAGATGTGGAGGGAGAATTTTTAGTACTCAGGAAACTAACGCCATCATCAGGCAAAGCCATGCATACACCCAAACCACCTGTAGATGGTGAGAAAGGCATCAGAGCCTTTATGGGAACTCCAAAGCAGAGACATGACCTGGCAGAAGATTTAACTGGGCACAAGAGGAGGCCAAGAACCCCTAAGGAAGAGGCCCAATCCCTAGAAGACCTGTCTGGCTTCAAAGAGCTCTTCCAAACACCGGGCCACACTGACAAAACAATGACTGTTGACAAAAGCACAAAAGTACTCTGGAAATCTTTACAACCAGCAGCAACCAACACTCCAATGAGCACAAGCAGACAGCTCAGGATATCTCTGGGGAAAGTGGATGTGAAAGAAGAGCTCTCAGCAGTTGGCAGGCTCCCACAAACACCAGGGCAAACCGTGCACACACACAAAGAACCAGTGCCTCGAGGTAAAGGGACCAAAATGCTTCAGGAAACTCCACGGCAGAATGTGGACCCAGAAAACTCTGTAACTGGAGTGAAGAGATGGCCAAGAGCAGCTAAGGAAGAGGTCCATCCTCTGGAAGATCTGTCTGGCTTCAAAGAACTCTTCCAAACACCAAAACGCAATGACAGACCTACAACTCAGGACAAAGCTGCTAAAATACCCTGCAGATCTCCACAACCAGAGAATCACAAAAGTCTCTGGAAATCTTTACACCAGCAGCACCAACACTCAATGAGCACAAGCAGACAGCTCAGGATATCTCTGGGGAAAGTGGATGTGAAAGAAGAGCTCTCAGCAGTTTGGCAGGCTCCACACACCAGGGCAACGTGCACACACACAAAGAACCAGTGCCTCGAGGTAAGGACCAAAATGCTTCAGGAACTCCACGGCAGAAAGTGGACCCAGAAAACTCTGTAACTGGAGTGAGAGATGGCCAGAGCAGCTAAGGAAGAGGTCCATCCTCTGGAAGATCTGTCTGGCTTCAAGACTCTCCAAACACGAAAAGCATGACAGACCTACAACTGAGGGCAAAACTGCTAGATATCTAGCAAATCTCCACAACCAGCAAGCGCAGTGACACCCCAATAGCAAAAAGACGGCCCAAGACACCTTTGGGAAAATGGGCACAGAGGAGGAGCTGGCTCACTGAGGAAGCTTTCACAAACGCCAGGGAAATCAACAACCCCCCAAGGTACCAGCTGAGACAAGATGTCAGAGTATTTATGGTCTGTAGAGCAGAAACTTGACCAGTGGAAGTGTAGTTAGCAGCAGGAAGAGGCAGAGCCCCTAAGGAGACACCAAGCCCTAGAAGCCTTTCTGGCTTTTAAAGAACTCTTTCAACACCAAAACAGAATGGCAATGCCACAACTGAGGATAAAACTACTAAATACCCAGCAAGTATCCACAACCAGAACTAGTGAGCACTTCACAAGCATGAAAAGACGGCCAAGACACCTTTGGGGAAACAGCTATAGAGGAAGATCTCTCAGCACTGAGGAAGCTCTCGCAACACACCGGGGAATCCATGCCACACCAAGGAAAATTAGAGCACAAAGGCATCATAGCGTTTAGGCGATCTGCAGAGCAGAAACTATACCCAGCAGCAAGTGTAACTGGTAGCAAGAGAGGCCAGGGCAGCTGAGAAGAGCCCATCCTTGAAGATCTGTCTGGTTCAAAGAGCTCTTCCAAACACCAAGACACAGTAAGAGCCACAACTGAGGAAAAACTACTAAATACCCTGCACATCTCTACAAGCAGAACGAGTGAACACCCCAATATGCACTAAAAGATGGCCTAAGACACCTTTGGGAAAATGACTGTAGAGGAGCCGTCTGCATCGGAGCTCTTGCAAACACCGGGAAGCAACACACATCCAAGGTACCAGGTGAGGAAAAAAGCATCAGAGTGTTCAAGGAACTGCAGAGCAGAAAATGGGCTGGCAGCAAGTATATCAAGCGCAGGAGAAATCGAGAGCAGCTGAGAAAGAGACCAAGTCCCTAGAAGACCTGGCTGGCTTCAAAGAGCTCTTCCAAACACAGTCACACTGAGGAGTCAATGACTGATGGCAAAACCACTAGACCACCTTGCACATCTCCAGGACCAGGACTAGTGGCCACCCCAGTAAGCATGAAGACACAGCCCAACACAAGTCTCAGGAAACAGATGTGGAGGGAATTTTTAGTACTCAGGAAACTAACGCCATCATCAGCAAAGCCATGCATACCAACCACCTGTAGATGGTGAGAAAGGCATCAGAGCCTTTATGGAACTCAAAAGCAGAGACATGACTGGCAGAAGATTTAACTGGGCACAAGAGGAGGCCAAGAACCCTAAGGAAGAGGCCCAATCCTAGAAGACCTGTCTGGCTTCAAAGAGCTCTTCCAACACCGGCCACACTGACAACAATGACTGTGACAAAAGCACAAGTACTCTGGAAATCTTTACACCAGCAGCAACCAACACTCAATGAGCACAAGCAGACAGCTCAGGATATCTCTGGGGAAAGTGGATGTGAAAGAAGAGCTCTCAGCAGTTGGCAGGCTCCACAAACACCAGGGCAAACCGTGCACCACACACAGAACCGTGCCTCGAGGTAAAGGGACCAAAATGCTTCAGGAACTCACGGCAGAAAGTGGACCAGAAAACTTGTAACTGGAGTGAAGAGATGGCCAAGAGCAG